TGACCACATTATCCACCCATGTAACTTCTAAACTTATTTCCTGATAAAATATAGAATCTCAGCCAACTCGTTCCATGCCTTTCTAATCCTTCCTGTTTTGTCTAGCTCACTTTGTGTCCTTCCCGTTTACAGGAGGATTGAAATGAAAACCTTAAATGGGTGGTACAAATTACAATGATGATTCCACTTTCTTGTAGCCTTCCAGTATTGTCGTTAAGTATATCAAGAGTGTTAAGCACTTTACATCATGGTAAAGACGAACCTGGTGGAGTTATAATGACATTTAAAAGATGACCACCCCATTTTTGACATGCTCAAAGAGGAGCAGCGTTCTATCATGCTTTTTTAGATAGTGAAAGAGTGAATCTATATAAATTTATTGGTGAATGAAGTCCTTGCATAATCCACCCATTCCAAATTCTTTTCTCCGTATTAATTTTTGGTCTACTTGTTTTTTTTTTTTTTTAGCTCTGTAGGATCCAGTGCAGGTACATTTTAATTATATTATTATCAGGTGTTCTCAATCTATGTCCTATCCAAAGCCAGCACCCATTAATTCCCATTTTAAGTCACTGAAATTTTGTTCTCTCCACAATAAACCTCTCCATTACTGACCACAACACCAACCTTCCAGTTAACAAGTCAACCCTTTAAATTAACAAGCCAACCCTTAAATTAACAAGCCAAACCTTAATTAACAAGCCAAACCTTCAGTTAATAACACTAATTGTAACACTAACCAACACTAAAACCTAACTTAACAACACCAACTACCAGTTAACAATGTCAACCCTTCAGTTAACAATACAAACTGATCTGTTAATAAATCAACCACTCAATTAACAATGCCACCCCCCTCCCCCCAGTTAACAAGCCAACCCTTCAATTAACAACTACTGTACTCAGTTAACAAGGCAACCCTTCAGGTAACATGCCAGCCACCCAGTTAACAAGTCAATCCCTCAGTTAAAAACATCAGCCAGTCAGTAACACCATCAACCACTCCGTTAACAACACCAGCTACTAAGTTAACACTAGCCTCCTGGTTAATAACTCCAGCCACCTCAGTTACTAACTCCAGCCACCTCAGTTACTAACTCCAGCCACCTCAGTTAACAATACCAACCCCTCAGTTAAAAACTGCAGCCACTAAGTTAACACCAGCCTCCTGGTTACTAACTCCAGCCACCTCAGTTACTAACTCCAGCCACCTCAGTTACTAACTCCAGCTACCTCAGTTAACAACACCAACCACTCAGTTAACAACTCCAGCCACCTTAGTTACTAACTCCAGCCACCTCAGTTCCTAACTCTAGCCACCTCAGTTAACAACACCAACCCCTCAGTTGAAAACTCCAGCCACCTCAGTTACTAACTCCAGCCACCTCAGTTAACAAAACCAACCTCTCAGTTAACAACTCCAGCCAGCTCAGTTAACAACACCAACCCATCAGTTAACAACACCAACCCATCAGTTAACAACACCAGGCACCTCAGTTAACAAGTCCAGCCACCTCAGTTAACAACACCAACCCATCAGTTAACAACTCCAGCCAGCTCAGTTAACAACACCAACCCATCAGTTAACAACTCCAGCCAGCTCAGTTAACAGTCCAGCCACCTCAGTTAACAACACCAACCCCTTAGTTAACAACACCAGCCACCTCAGTTAACAACACCAACCCCTCAGTTAACAACTCCAGCCAGCTCAGTCAACAACACCAACCCCTCAGTTAACAAGTTCAGCCACCTCAGTTAACAACACCAACCCCTCAGTTAACAACTAAAGCCAGCTCAGTTAACAACACCAACCTTTCTTACAAAACTCGGGAGAGCGATCACTTTCCTTGACGACCTTCTGCTGCAGCTCCTCTATGGCGGCCTCAGACAACACCTTGCTATCCACGAACCGATGCAGCCGTCGCCGTCGTAGGAAGAAGATGAACAAGATGAGGAGGATGACGAGCAGGAGAGCGGCGCCCGTGACAATGGTGATGGTCAAAGTGGTAGACAGAGAGCTGGAGTACGGGTTCAGCACCTCACACGTGTTCAGATCTGAAGGAGAAAAAAGAAATAAACTCATTGACACCTTAGTATACTACTTTACCGTGTGTGGGATTAGGAACACAATTGTCGAGAATAGGCGGGGGGGGGGGGGGGGTGGGAAACACATACTGCTAATTAACATGCATGACGTAAAAGGCGACTAATTAAGGATTTGTTGAAATTCGGATGTTTTGAGTTGAGCCTAAAAGTAAAAATATCACAGTCTAGCTGTAAACAACAACACAATGTGCCCGCCTCCCTTTAAAGGGCGAAGGCAGATAAAGAACCTTACCAACTTTTAGGGCAGGGGGAACTGGAGCTGGGAAGCTGTCCTTATCAACGTTTTCCAAGTCCCCCTGCAGTCTGCTGGACAGCTGTCCTTTCCAACGCGTCACGAGACTGTCCACAAACATACGGCTCACTGAGCCGCCTTACAACGGTTGCAGGCCGAGTCTCTTTTTAAGTATTTATTTATACATTAATTCAAACATATTATTAGATTAATTTGCAATTTAACATATTATTATTATTCACTTAAAGAGGGCGAGGGGTTAGATCATTTCCTGCTGAATGCTTTGGGATCGCATTGCTAGCATGGGCACCAGGAAGTCTGTGTGCAGTTTAGGAATTTATTTCTGCAATGGAGTCGGCCCAGTGATCATTTTACCTCATCTTCCTTTCTCTATGACTTTTTTTTTTCAAATTGGACAGTGAAGTAGGTTTTGTGTGATTCCAACTGACACAGGAACGGTAATCACCGGTCTGCAGTATAGTTAGAAACTCGAATGACGACTCTCTCTCTCTCTTTTTTGTCTCTCTCTCTCTCTCCTACTATCTTCCCCTCTATCTATACCGCGCTCCCTCTTTCGATATATACACATCTGCCGGTGTGCCGCTTTTTTGCCCATAGTATCGTATGACAGTCTGGATTCCTTCATTTCCGTTTCTACTGTTCTCATCCACGGTTCCAGTAAACCCCCCCCCCCCCCCCCCCCCCCAATTGAGCCGCTTCACAACAGTTGCAGGGAGAGTATCTTTTTTGAGTATTTACTTAAACGTGTCACATTATTTCAGTCATATTTTTAGATTTATTTGCCATTCAACATATTATTATTATTATTATTCACTCACAGAAAGCTTACACATTTCTGAAAAATGGGGAGGGGCGCTTCATTAATCCCCAACCCCACTCGAACCTAATATTTTCACCCACCTACACCGACACGCACGCACGCA